TTAATTTCCTTACCATGGCATGATCAAGTAATACTTTTTACTTTTGTTCAACAGGTTCACACAGACAGCTAGAAACACGAGTGAATGAGTGTGTGTGTGTGTGTGTCCTGAAGAGCCAGAATTCCTTCCCCTTCACTATTCTACATGAAACTCCTTAGAAGCACAAAAATGCCTGGTTTAGCGTCTTGCTTTCATTTAACCACCTATGAAGGTTTTTAAAGGGAAAAAAGCTTAGAATTAAATAGCAACTCTGCAAAGCTACAGGTTTTTGCAAAGGGACAGAAAGATAGTAATTCAGACATGAATTCGTTTTAAGAGCTGAGGTTTGCTGCTACCTGGAGTTACTGGAGAAACAAAGCTGCCTTTGGGCACCTAAAACTAGTCAGACCTGCTGTAGCAGCTGCACGGTCGGCTCCAGAGCTGTCCTCCACTCTCCTCCCTCTGGCCCCCACCCCGCGCATCCGCATTGCTCACTCCACTCGGGGCGGCGCCGAACGGGCACACTCAGCCCTCCTCTGCCGTCCCTGCTCAGGGGCAGGGCCAGCTCTGGACACACGGCGTGCAAGTGTAAGAGGAGGCCAGACAAGAGAGCGATGCTGACTCCATTCTGAACTGAAAGCTGCAGTTGGTGCGGAATACAGCTTCTGTGTTCCCAGGTTGCTAAGATAGATACATCAAATTGTGGGGTTTGCTTCAGTGAATCCTGGCAGGGATTCCCAATTAAGTTGAGAGGAGGGACAGGAGATCTTGAGAGGAGACGAAGGAGGCTTTCCAGCTTCAGCAGCCCTCAGACCACAAAGATAGCAGAATTTCCTTCCAAAAGGGAGTTTTCATTGTCTCTATGTGGTGCTTGTTTAAATGATAAGCATCTGTTTTGTCCTATTAGGAATCATATGTTTTCAAAGATATTGCGATGTTTTTATTTTGAAATTTTTATTTGTATTTCAAAGAAAATTTTTAGACAGCCAAGCATGTTTTTGTTTGTCTCATGATCTTCAAGGAAAAAAAAAAAAAACAAAACAAGGCATCTATTTATTACCCAGAATAGGAATGTCGTCTTATTGGCCTGACATATGCCATTCACAGATTCATACAAAGAATGAACTGCCACACAGTGCTCATGGAGAAAGACACTGCTCCACACAATGAGTGATGGGCGCTCCAGGGGACAGGGCTGCTCACAGGGTTTCCCAGCATCTGCACGGAGGGCACAAGTTTGCCTTTAACACCAACCGCACTAGCCATTGGAGACAATAATTTCGTTTAAAAGATACGCTAACTTTGGTTAGTTGCTCTTTCCTTCAAGAATATTGAAACTAAATTAAATATCCACCCATTTCTTAAGCAAGAGTCCTAGCTTGGGGGTTTCGGTCAACTGTTTAAGGAATAATTATTAACAGTCAGTAGAAAATATATGATATATGCATACGCAGTGGCCACTGCATTTTTAGATGTTCGTGTTCTGCTGGTCAGTGTTGATTAATGGAAAGACGTATGAAAGTAGCTGTTACCCTTATTTCAAGGCCATTTTCACTTAAAAATGGAGCTTGCCCTCTGGTGCCTTGAGCATACACCTGATCTTTGCACTCAGCAATCACAGACACCTCTCTCTCGTCTCTCTGCCCCCTTTCCCTCTCTCCTTTGGCAAGAAACTACTGCAACTACATCTATCTCCTATAGGATAGGCCGTAATAGTAAATATGAAATTTCTATAGCAACAAAATTTTAAGAAGTTCTACAAGTGAATTAAAGTTCACACTCCTAAATGCCATATTTATCTATACATTTTAAAAATCTCTGTTGTAATATTGACAAAGTCGTCTTGTTTTTTATTGATATAAACAAAATATAAAATAAAGCTGCATGCTTTTACTAGTGTTCTCTAACAAGGAACCACAGCAAAAGAAACCTCTAAGGGTTTCTGTTGTAACTTTTAACTTTCTTAAATAGCTAAAGTGTAAAATATTTTGACCAAAGGCAAACTTTTAGTATAATTTGCTACTGATAATCTGAAGTATGCTTTTATTTATTTTATTTATTTATTTATTTATTTTCTGTCAGTTTAATTTTTGACAGAAAGAAATCTTTATGTATTTGTATGTCTGTATATATGTATGTATCTTCAACCTCCCCTTATATGTTTTTTATCTGTTTTGTGTGTGTGCACCTTTCTAAGTAGCCCTGTAACTTTTATTCTGTCATTGGAACACTCTTTAAAATAGCATATGCCAAAAGCTATCAGCTGCTACACAAATTTGAGTTTTAAAACATCAAAATATATACTAAGTATCTCATTATTAATAATTCAGTGCATGGCAACTGGGTAAAATTTATATTTCAGCTTCTCAATTAAATAAAAAAGCTTTCAAGGGGACAATTCAGCAAACAGAAGTCTAAAGGTTTTCTAAATCTGAGTTAATATCCCTTTCTAATTTTTTTAAGGGAAACAGGCCGGAGCAGCTGTTACCTAAGAAGCTGTGACACTCGCCTGACAATAAAACTGTTCCCTAGGACACTCATGTCGTACACTTGGTTGGTATTATAAAATGTGAGTCTTCTCTCCCACCTATTGTAAAAACACAAGGAACAGAGCTGAATGTTTAAGAAAAAGAAAGGCTGTCAAATCCATTTCGTAAGATTTCTCACCTGACAGCAACATGGTTATGCACATTTTAATTAGGGGAGAGGAAAGAAATAAAAATTATGTTAAAGGGCTCCAAACTTGATGAACAACATAGACAACTTTACATTAACATATGATATTTCCAAGTAAATCAATAAAGCTAAAGGAAAATTTCTAACATTTATCTGTTTTTGTCGTTTTTCCACGAAGAAATTGCTAGAATGAACAGGAAAGCGGAGATGCATGAACGAGCTCTTCTTGCTCGTGCCAGAAGCAGGGATCTTAGGATGGGTATTTTCATCCTCAGAGCACACCCTACGACACTCAAATCAGAATAGACGGCTATAAAAAGGGGGAGGACTGGGAGGAACTCTAGGGGTGAGATACGCCTTCTGAGTAGCTGAACAACTACCCCCCCCATCAGCAAAACAACCCAGAGGCAATCAGGTGGACTGTCCTCCAGGGGTTGAGTGCAGCCAAGAGCCCACTTCACTCTTGTCAGAGACTAGTCCCTAATTATAAAAGGCTACTTTGAACACTTAAGGCCTCAGGGATCCTATTGGCTACTACAACTTCTAGGCTCTTTACACACATTATGGACATTTCTTAACATATATTGGGAAATCAAACAGTATATTTCATGAACAAAGCTTGAAAACATATACTGTCTTCCTTAAGACCAAATGAGGCTGCCCAACTTGATTAAAATTAAAACCAGTATAGTCTGAGGCTAGATGTCTCGCCCTGCTGATTGTCCTTCCCCACTCAGTGCCTGTAAAAACTTCCTTTCCACCTCCTGAAACATCCTGAAATTAACCAGCTTGAAAGCAAAAAGTTATTCTAAAACAAATTATATCTAATCTTTTTGAGAAATTTAAGGATAAACACAGAACTCTAATCTCAATCCATTACTATTACTTCTGCTAAAAGTAAGATAACTCATGGCCAAGGGGGGGAAAAAACAATTTATGATCTTCCTCTCGATGCAGTGGCCCTCTGACGGCACCCTGTCTTAATGGTACAAAGTCCAGGGCTTGGGACAGCTGGCTCCCCTCAGCCCCCTCCCTTTCAGTCATAGGCGGTCACGACCAAGATGACTTGTAGATTTCTAACTTAAAAACCAATGAGACATCAAGTTTAACATACATACACATTCAAAATCAATTCACTTGGGCACGGGCGAAAAGAGGGTGGAGAGGTACGTTTTTAAGCTAAAACACAGGGAAACTAACAGAAACACACTAAAGCAAGTTGGATGCAAACCCGGCCACAGAACTCAAAAGTGAAGCAGCCTTCGCGCCAGCAATACGAGCCTTAAAAAAAAAAAAAGTCTCGCACGTTCACAACAACACAACCGCCACAACACGCACACATATCCCAGCTGTAAAAGCGACAGCTCCAAGCTCCCTCCGCCCCACCGCTGGGTTCTGGTTAGCTCCCGACCCCCTCCTGACCCCGGTCCGTGACTGCCCGTCCCCTGCCCTTCCCCCAGCAGATCTGCCCGCGAACGCTGGGGGTCCCCGGCGCTGGCCCCGGGGGTCCAAGGGAGCGGGGCAGGGAAGTAGCCGGAGGGAGCGCTCCTCCCGGTACCTGCTCCAGCCCAGGTCCCTCCCGCCGAGGCGCCCGCGACCCTCGCGGCCGCCCGGGCCCCTCCTCCGCCCTCCCGGCTCAGCCGGCCCTGGCGAGGTCCCAACGCCGCCCCCACCCACCGGGAGCCCAGCGCATCCAAGAATCCCCTCCAACCCGGCGCCGGGAGAACTTACCACATGCAGCTCCACCTGGGAACTAACACATCAGGAGGGGTTTCTGCCCACTCCTCAAGCTACTCCCGCTCCATGCGGAATCCCCCGCTCCGGGGGCCCGAGGGTGGCTCCGAGGAGCGGGCTGGAGGCGAGACCGAAGCTAAGACTCCGCCGTCCTCTGCCTGCGCGCTCGGAGCATTATACAATGGTGGAGGAGGAGGCGGCGGCGGCGGCGGCAGGCAGCGGAGGAGGAAGCGGGAGGCGGGCGGAGGGGGCGCCCTGACCGAGCTAGCGGCAGCTAGTGCTCCAGCACTCGCTGTGCAGGAGTGACGTGCGTCCAGCGAGCCTCCCGCGAGCTCCGGGCCCTGGGCTCAGCAGGCCCCGCCCCTCGGCCCGCCCCGCCCCTCGGCCACCAGGCCCCGCCTCTTGCCGGGCCCCGCCCCCTTCCCCGGAGGTCCCGGGAGGCGCGATAAATGCCTAGCGGGGCCCCGGCCGCCCCAGGAGCAGGAAGGGGCAGGCGGAGCACGCGAGACGCCGGGTGGCAGCGCCGCCCACGGCTCCCTTCCCAGCCGGGGCGTCCTTGATTTTCTCTTAAGGGAAGGCTTAAGGAGCAGGGGAGAAGAAAAGAGACACTCCGGCCAGGGGACCACAACTAACCACCAAGAATCCCCTCACACCACTCATGCAAATGACGGAGCCGCTAGTGACAAAGGCGGCGGCGAGAGCCGCGCGCGCACAGCCCGCTGAGTCGCGCGACCGCAAATATGACAAGCATCTGAGCTATTCTGCAACTTGGGGCCGGTTAGCCGGGCAGGCAGGGTCCCGGGGGGAAATGGGGGGAGAGAAAATCAGACCCCAAGGCGCGGCGTTCACGCTGCCAGCGGAGCTTTCGAGACAGGCGTTCCCGGAGGGCGGGGGCGGCGCTCCCGCAGCTGAGACCCTCTCCGATGCCCCAGTCTCAGGACGCACGAGTGGCCCGCAGAGACGTCCGAATGACAGGATGGGTGGGGGCTCCAGCTGGAGCTGGGGACAGAAAATTCCCTTTGCGTGCAGTGGCCTCAGCCCAACACTTGAAATGGGTCACCAAGTCAAGAGTACCTTCGGAACAGGACGGAACCGAGTTGCATCCTTCGTGGCAGGCCGCGGCCGTGGTGCAGACCCGGCAGCCGGCCGCCTACCCTGGCAGAGCCCACGCAGGTAGGCAAGCCAGGCTTGGATACGCAGGGGATACCGAGGCGCAGTTTCACATTGCTAGCCTTTTCTCTCTCCTTTCTTGAACTACTTACATTTAGCAGGTAAATTTATACTAGTTGGGAGAGGTTGTGTGTATGGTAAGAATTTTAAAGCCCTAGGAAAGGAGAGCTCCCCTAGAAAATTAATGATTATTTTAAAAATTACATGCGCGTTCAGTGTAAAGATGTTACAAAAAGTAATTCAGGCACCTTAAAACTTTGGCTGCCACCCCAATCAATATCGTCTCAGATCTCTTTGGAGCTTAATAGTCCACTATACTAGTTATGTTTAAGGATAATAAAGCTTTAGGACCTAACATAAAGGTGATTATAGGGCTTCCCTGGTGGCTCAGTGGTTGAGGGTCTGCCTGCCGATGCAGGGGACACGGGTTCGTGCCCCGGTCCGGGAAGATCGCAAATGCCGTGGAGTGGCTGGGCCCGTGAGCCATGGCCGCTGAGCCTGCTCGTCTGGAGCCTGTG